AATAATTAATTTAAAATTCATAAAAATTTAAATTACAAGTCTTCATTCATCTTCAACGCAATGTTGAATCTGTGATGTAATGCCATGATGAAGAATAAATTTGATTTGAAGAATGAAGAAGGTGGAAAGTTGAAAACGACATTTAAGAAAGAGAGACCTAAAACCTTATATATGCTAAATGTAGAAAATTAAAAAAATTATAAAACCCAATCTTAGACTCTATTATAAGAAATTTATACACTATGGTTTCTTGATATACTCCGTATTAAATTCCATTTTTTTATGCTTATACTCTCAGGAGATAAGAATGACAGCTCAACATCAAGTGCAGCAACAGAATGAAGAAGACGCGCTTGGTAGACGTCTTTGGTAGACGCCTTTGGTAGACGCGTTTGATAGACGTCTTTGGTAGACACCTTTCGTAGACGCGCTTGGTAGACGTCTTTAGTAGACGCTTTTGGCAGTTATAACTGCTTCTTTCTTATCTCTGTACTCTGTATATAAGCTCATGTTGAGCTTCCTTTTTGGCAGTTAATCAATTCCCTTTTTGGTTAAAGAACTCAGCCATATCAAATTCTAATCCATTGTCTGTTCTAATGCACTTAACATGTGACTCAAACTGGATCTCAACCATACTGCAGAAACTTCTAATCAGATCTCTAGTTTCAGACTTTCTCTTCATCAAGTAGACCCATACTGCCCTACTATGATCATCTAGTATAGTAAGAAAGTATTGATGCCCCTGAAGAGAAGCAACTCTGTAGGGTCCCCAAATATCCATATGTAACAAGTCAAAGCAGGCAGCGGAAATAGAGTCACTAGAACAGAAAGGCATTCTCTTTTGCTTAGCAAAATGACAAGACTCACAAACCAGATCTTTATTCATGTAAATTGTGGGATCCACCTTATTCAAACATTGTAGCTTAGAATAGGAAGCATGCCCTAATCTATCATGCCACAAAGCACATTTATTCATACTTGAACTAACAGTGTGTACAGAAATGGAACTAGCAGGAAAAACCAAATAGTACAGCCCATTATGAAGTTCAGCTTTTCCAATCATCTTCCTCTTAAAAAAAAAAGGGAATTGATTAACTGCCAAAAAGGAAGCTCAACATGAGCTTATATACAGAGTATAGAGATAAGAAAGAAGCAGTTATAACTGCCAAAAGCGTCTACTAAAGACGTCTACCAAGCGCGTCTACGAAAGGTGTCTACCAAAGACGTCTATCAAACGCGTCTACCAAAGGCGTCTACCAAAGACGTCTACCAAGCGCGTCTTCTTCATTCTGTTGCTGCACTTGATGTTGAGCTGTCATTCTTATCTCCTGAGATATACGGTTACTTTGTTTTCGACACGTACGTATAGCATATCATACCTTGATAATTGATGCGGTTATTGATTATTTTACATTTAGAAAAATACCTAACACTTTTTTTCTTGATAATTATTATGTATGTAAAATTGTTAAAAACTTGTGAATTTTATTTCAAGTTATTTGACAATATTATTTTTATTTATGAAATTTATAATTTAATTATGAAAATATATGTTAACTCCATGTAAAACCAATTTTTGTTGTTATGTCACGGACCTATAAAGACTAATACATTTTATAAGTGTGACATATGATTACAAATTTTTAATTTATTTGAAGACTTTTTATATAAATTGTTTATAATGTAGTATATAATCTAAAAAGTGAAGTATTTATTTCTTGAGAATTACTTTCGTTTTTGGTACTCTTACATTTTAAGGAGAGCATTAAATGGTTGTCAGAAGTGGGATTTGAACCCACACCCTTTTACAAGGACCAAAACTTGAGTCTAACACCTTAGACCACTCGACCATCCTGACAATTTATAATATAAAATTTAAATATTTTATGTATTAGTATTAATACATATTTTTTAATATGTAGTGGCCTGGAGAGTAGAGTCTAGCATCCTTACTACTAGCTACAGCTTAGGGGTGAGCGCCAAAGGGATTGGAGCAGATTTGAAATGAACCCGCATCCAATTAATCCGCTAATTATAAAGGTGAATTTGAACCATATCATCTAATAGGAGTTTAATTGGGTCTAATCGAATCCGATATGCTAATGACGGATTTGACGGATTGGATGTGGATATATAAGACGACAGATTTGAAGTTTTAAAAATAAAATAAAGTATAATACAAATTTTCAAGAATTCAAAAATCATAATCACAAATTTTTAAGAATCCCATTAAATAAAACAACAAAATATCACATTATAAAAAAATACAAATAATTAATTTAAAATTCAGAAAAATTTAAATTACAAGTCTTCATTCATCTTCAACGCAATGTTGAATCTGTGATGTAATGCCATGATGAAGAATAAATTTGATTTGAAGAATGAAGAAGGTGGAAAGTTGAAAACAACATTTAAGAAAGAGAGACCTAAAACCTTATATATGCTAAAGAGTCAATTCCTTTTTTGGTCCTAGACTTATTGAGGCATGTACAATTTTCATCCTTCATAATAAAAATTGTCAATTTGTAGCCACACTTATTAATCGTTGGACAGTTTTAATCGTCCGTTAATGAATCTGTCAGTTGACCGTGAAATAGAAGGGCAAAATTGTCTTTTTATGCGTTTTTCTTCTTTGTCGTATTAGTCTCAACAGTCCATAAGAAGAACTCTCTCAGCTGATATGTCATCCAAAAAATGGTTGTCGTAGCATGGCTTCTCGGCCTTCCCGGCGGCCATGAAGAAAGTTGGTTCCTCCGGCGAGTTCGCCGTCGATCAAGAGGATGACCTCAGCAGGCCAGGGCATGATGAGGTTTGAAGAGCAATCCAAGCCGCACAGAAGCAGCTTCCAATTCCTCAAAACGATGGTGTACAGCCAGCATTAAGGTCATGCGAGTTTTGGAGCTCAATTTTAGCGTCTCAAAACACTGTGTTTCGTTGCTTAATGGTGTTGTCTTTAAACTATAGCTCTGGATTCATGTTTACTGCAACTTGTTCAGAACCTGGTTACTAGATTGCTTCTCTTTTTCCTTGTCGTTTTGTTGTTGATGTTGAGTTGCGCATAGGTAAATGATTTTGCAGTCGGGGTGTTCGTCGAAAGGCGGTTGCGATTTTTCAAGGAATTTCTTGGTTTTTTCGCCTCTTTGCCCATGTTCCGGGGCGGAAATGGAATCCGAATCAGGGGAACAAATGGGTGTTCCTTCGGGCTTGCGTTAATAGCGGCGGCAACCACCATAATTTCAGCTAGGAGCTTTCGGGTTCGGATCGCAATGGTGCCAGGAATATTGTGATTAAGAGGTTTGTCGAGGAATTCAATGCTACTAGTGTTACTGCTAGTAGGGGAAGCAGTAATTTTACTAGCTTTCAAGAGGACCCAATTGGGAAGCAATTCAAGGAAAACACACTGTGGAAGCAATTCAAGAAAAATACATTGAGGATCTCATTATTACTCCACTTCCACCGCCACACGCCGCCGCCACCGCCGTCAACACCTACGACTACTTCTGGAGGAAGAAACCCACAGTTGCAAGCTTGCGAAGAAGAATACAATTTACAATGGTTGAGCTTCGTGTGGGTTGTTTAGAAGTAAAAAACATTAGACTAATACGACAAAGAAGAAAAACGCATAAAAAGATAGCTTTGCCCTTCTATTTCACGGTCAACTGACAGATTTATTAACGGAGAATTAAAACTGTCCAACGATTAATAAGCGTGGCTACAAATTGGTAATTTTTATTATGAAGGATGAAAATTGTCCATGCTCCAATAAGTCTAGGACCAAAAAAGGAATTGACTCTATGCTAAATGTAGAAAATTTTAAAATTATAAAATCCAATCTTAGACTCTATTATAAGAAATTTATACACTTTGGTTTCTTGATATACTCCGTATTAAATTCCATTTTTTATGCTTATACGGTTACTTTGTTTTCGACACGTACGTATAGCATATCATTCCTTGATAATTGATGCGGTTATTGTTTATTTTACATTCAAAAAAGTACCTAAAACTTTTTTTTCTTGATAATTATTATGTATGTAAAATTGTTAAAAACTTGTGAATTTTATTTCAAGTTATTTGACAATATTATTTTTATTTATGTAATTTATAATTTAATTATGAAAATATATGTTAACTCCATGTAAAACCAATTTTTGTTGCTATGTCACGGACCTATAAAGACTAATACATTTTATAAGTGTGACATATGATTACAAATTTTTAATTTATTTGAAGACTTTTTATATAAATTGTTTATAATGTAGTATATAATCTAAAAAGTGAAGTATTTATTTCTTGAGAATTACTTTCGTTTTTGGTACTTTTACATTTTAAGGAGAGCATTATTAAATGGTTGTCAGAAGTGGGATTTGAACTCACGCCCTTTTACAAGGACCAGAACTTGAGTCTGGCGCCTTAGACCACTCGGCCATCCTGACAATTTATAATATAAATTTTAAATATTTTATGTATTAGTATTATACATATTTTTTAATATGTAGTGGCCTGAAGAGTAGAGTCTAGCATCCTTACTACTAGCTACAGCTTAGGGGTGAGCGCCAAAGGGATTGGAGCAGATTTGAAATGAACCCGCATCCAATTAATCCACTAAAGGTGAATTTGAACCATATCATCTAATAGGAGTTTAATTGGGTCTATTCGAATCCGATATGCTAATGACGGATTTGATGTGGATATATAGGATGACAGATTTGAAGTTTTAAAAATATAATAAATTATAATACAATTTTTCAAGAATTCAAAAATCATAATCAACAATTTTTAATAATCTCATTAAATAAAACAACAAGATATCACATTTTTAAAAAATACAAATAATTAATTTAAAATTCATAAAAATTTAAATTACAAGTCTTCATTCATTTTCAATGCAATGTTGAATCTGTGATGTAATGCCATGATGAAGAATAAATTTGGTTTGAAGAATGAAGAAGGTGGAAAGTTGAAAACGACATTTAAGAAAGAGAGACCTAAAACCTTAGATATGCTAAATGTAGAAAATTTAAAAATTATAATTAAATTATAAAACCCAATCTTAGACTCTATTATAAGAATTTTATATACTTTGTTTTCTCTTTATACTCCGTATTAAATTCTATTTTTTATGCTTATACGGTTACTTTGTTCTCGTATAGCATATCATACTTTGATAATTGACGCTATCAATATTGTCATATGTGGGACTGATCTGAATGGGCATAAGATTTCAGTTTCCATCTGAACCATCTAAAGATTGAAGGATGAGTTGTTAAGAATACTGGTAGTTATTTTGTTCCAAAGGCATCTTATTTGCTTGGTTTACACATGTAGGGACCAATTTGGTGATCCAAGTAAAAAATGAGAGATTTCTAGACACTTTGGAGCAAAAGAAGGACAAATGCACAAGGGAAAGAAGTTGCCCAGGTCGTACGGCCAAGTGTCTGGCCGGACAACTGCGGTTCAACTCGACCAGAGAGTAAAGTGAGGGAGAAAGGCATCAAGTCAAGATGTACGGCGTGTTGTCTAGCCGGACAACCTGAACAGAAATTATGGCGGCGGTGAGCATGATCTTATTGTTGAGGTCGTACCGGTTATGACGGCGGAAGAAGGTCGACTCGCCATCATCGTCGAAGCCGCCCATAGTTGCGGCGGTCAAAATTGATGTTTGTACAAGCTTTCTTGAATTTTCTTGATGATGCTTGATGGCCACATTCATTAACATGTTTAGGAGGATATTCAATTGCAAGTAGAATTGATTTGGAGATCTAAGCAACACTTATACATTTTCTATTGTTTTTACCATGAGGGTAGAAGACATTTGAGGGAATTCATTGTTTGGTGAGTTTCTAGGCCTAGGAATGGCACGCCATAAAAATGGGACACTCCTAGGCCTAATCACAAGAGATATGTCGCGAGAGTGCCATCTAACTTGTGATTCTTATGTACATCATTGCCCTATTCTAGACTCTTATTCTTCTAATTCTAAAGAACAAGGCATCTAGAGGATCAATTCCCTTAGCCAAAGCCCTCATTTACCATAATTGCATCAAGTGTAGTATTCCAATCACTTTCATTCGTTAATCGAATTGCTAGTATCTCACCCCAATTCATGAGCTTAGTTTCTAGTGGATTTATCTATCTTAGTGCCTAGAAACTTGTAATTGCATGATATTCATATCATAAATCAAAATCATTGAGAATGATATTTCACTTAGACACTCTTAATCTACATCACCAACAATGTGGATGTTTTGTATCGAGAAACACAGCCACAAGGTTTGGTGTCTTAGCCTACTTGGTTAAGGACAACGGGCGATAATTTGAGAGACAACTCTTCAAAAATTTTTGAATACTGTACCATAAGTGTATAAATTTTACACATTTTATACACCTTTAATTGACTAATTATTTGACAAACAATATTAGATCAGTTAATATAATTGTGTTTTGTTTTTTCTAGTCTACCTTCCGTAGTTTCCTCAGTTTGGGCGGATCTTCTAACAGAATTTTTTTAGCGTACAAAGTCTTCAAGCAGCCAATTTGAATTGAGTGTCTCACCTTAATTCAAGGAGTTTTCACGCAACTTACTTTCAGACTTCAAGAGTCCTATTATTCTACTATATAAAGAGGCGTGAAGATCCAAGTAAGGACAAATTTAATTTGGATATGTTCGGGTGAAAATATTTTGAATTTATTTCGGTTTAGTTTAGATATATTCAAAAATTTATTTTTATCAATTTTAATTTGAGTTTTATAATGATTTTATTATTTTGTATATACTTTTTTTTCATATAAAATAAGACAAACTTAATAATTAACTAAGAGATTTTTGAAAATTAATATATTATTAATTATGAAATACATTTAAAACTAAATATATAGTTTATATTATATTTATAATAAAATTTCAGCCAGTTCATGTTTTAGGTCGGGTATGGATAACAAGGTCGTGTCCACCAAATATCCAAACTAATTGAATAAGCATATATAATCATATTGATAATATTATTGAAAGTATTCAATATACTTGAGCTAAAACACTCACGTTCACATTGAAATTGACACATTCATATTATGCACTACCACCATCAACAAAGAAAATAAGGTTAAAAACCCCAATTGACTTACATACCTGACTTGTGAAATTAAAAAACACATCATCCAATGCTATGCACACATTTTTTTTTAACCATTGTAAGATGTAGATAGATTTTAATTAGTAATTATGATAAAAATTGAAAGAAAGATATTTTTATTTAGATCCCATATTGCAACCAAATCACACAAAATGGAGTAATTAATTTATCACAATTTAAGTGTTCATCTAAAAATTTATTTAATTTATTGTTCTCAAAAGGTTGAATCTGAGATGATGTAAATCATTCTTCCAAAAGGCTGAATTCCAACCCTAAGGGCCCCCACACCCCAACCCGACATGGTAACTCAATTAAACGTGAGACTCAATCTCGAGTCATTGTTCCCAAACTTCACCCTTGTGACCAACTGAGTTGTCCATGCGAGTAGAGATAATTAATTTATTTCAAGACAATGAATTAAGAAGTCATAACTAAACAATAATAAATAAATACTAATAAATAATCAACTTAACAACAATGTCAAGATGGCCGAGTTGGTCTAAGGCGCCAGTTTCAGGTACTGGTCCGAAAGGGCATGGGTTCGAATCCCATTCTTGACATTTTCTCCGAATCAGAAAGATGATTGCAACTGCGGTGTTCTGTTGGTAGTTGTTTTCCAAAGCCTGCCTATTGCCCCTCTGTGGCAGAATGAACAAATTAAACGCATGTCGACAGTATTAATTCTTTCTAGAAATTATAAAACAAAAATATGTGTTTCTTTTCCCAATTTTTTAATTTGTTGCTAAAATTTGCTAAAACCAAAAATTTTCATTCCGTATTGATATTAAATGTTAAAATCATATATATACTTGAATGTTTGTGTAAAAATAATTGATTCTTTAAAAACTTAGAATAATCTCATTCATCCATTGCAAAATAGTAGATGGATGAGATCTATACTTATATACTTGTATAATATAAATCTATTATTTTTATACTTGATAATTATGTTTTTAGAGTTTATGTATTAGTTTTAATTGCCATTGATAATAAACTTTTGAAAGAAATTGATATTAAAAATTTGGTGAATAATTTGTATATGAATATGTATGAAAGAACTTGAAAAATACCATTTTTTTGTGGTAAAAATTATTATATTATATCATTTTGGTAAGTTTAGTATTCTATTTCAACTAGTATTTGCGCCCGTGCGTTGCACGGAATGAATTTGTTATAAAATTTTAAAAATATTTATATCGATATACAATTGTATAAATTATAAAATCGAATATTATATAATATAATTGAAGAATTGAGTTGCACCGATTATGTTTTCTGATGTTATCAATGCTTGAATTCGAATAAATAATTGCCCAATTAATAGCTAACGTGTAGATATACGCATTCGGTGTTGCAACTTTAGAGATTTTATATATCAGTGTTTATAATTTGTATTAATTGGGCTAATTAGCTCGTTGTCTAGCAACTCAGTTATATAAATTATTTATACGGAAGATATATTTTCTATGTAGATCAGCTATATATATAGCAATTTTGTCATTTTCGTATATAAAAAAAAACATAATATCAATGGCTTAAATTATACATTATTGAAAATCTCTTTATAGCTAGACGACATTGGTAGTAGTAACGGAATTTTATCCATCATCGTCTAAAGTTAAAACTATCAGACTATCAGGATGGGTGACTCGGAAAAAAGTGACATACAATTAACCGTGATTAAAGACTGATTTTTTCAGTAATAACTCAAATATTATATAGTGCAATTAAAGATATGATTTCGCCCGTGAATTTGTTGTAATATATTAAGAATATCTGGATTGATATATAATTATTTAAATTAGACCATTAAATATTATATAGTGCAATTGAAGATATAGTTTGGATCGTTTATATGTTTTGATGTTATCGTTGCTTGAATTTAAACAAATAATTGCTCAAATTAATAGCTAATGTGTAGATATACGCATGCAGTGTTGTAACTTTGAAGCTTTTATTTATCATTGTTTAGTATTTTTATAAATTAGGCAAACGTGCTCATTCTTTAGCAACTCAGTTATAGGAATGAATTGCTATCCTAATTCATTTGTATGAAAAATATATATATATTTTTTGACTAAATTGCTTTAAAATTTTTTTAATTTTTTTTTTGTGTGTAGATATATAGCAATTTTGTCATTAAAAAAAAAACATAATATCACCAATTGTATTTACACATTATTAAAACCTCATACGGTAGACGACATTGGTAGTAACAACATAATCTTGTCCGTCCTCGTTTATAGCTAACATCTTCAGTCCATTAGAATGGGTGACTCGGGTGAAAATATATCATCGTAAAATATCAGTCAATTAGTAATATCATATTCATTTTCAACCAATTATTCTTTTTATTTTCCGTCAATTAATCAATTAGAATATCATATGCAATGGTATTTTTACCTAATTTCAGTTTTATTTTTAATTGGTGATGTAGAATATTATTATTGAAATATTTCCGTTCCATTTTTAATTTACTTTTACTATTGTTTAAAATATGCCTTTACTATTGATGATGTAGAATATTATTATTGAAATATTATCTTTTCATTTTTAATTTACTTTTACTTGATGATGTAGAATATTATTATTGAAATATTTTCGTTCTATTTTTAATTTCCGTTCTTTTGTTTTAAATTTTAAAAGATTTATTGTGATATAATTGGTTCACATATTTCAATTATTTATTTTTTCTTTAATTATTATAAACAGAAATGATATTGTACTAATTAATTTATGATATTTATCAAATTATATTTTTTAAAAATATAAGATTTACACATGTTATGAGGGGTTAAAAAAATATTTTAAAATGATTTTTTATTAGTATGAATTTTTATTTTAAAATATTTATAGCAATCCAAACACTACATTAGT